TCCGAAAGAAATAAAGAAAGGAAGGGGGAAAAAAAGAAAAAAAAGAAAAAGAAGAGAGAGAGAGAGAGAGAGAGAGAAAGAGAGAGAGAGAGAGAGAGAGAGAGAGAGAGAGAGAGAGAGAGAGAGAGAGAGAGAGAGATTCCTGACTGTTACTGTCGGACGAATCTGACCACATCTGTGGGTTAAATTCAGTCAAATTGGAGGTTCATCCCAATATGGCCGCATCCCCTACACACACACACACACACACACACACACACACACACATGTATTCTTGACTGTTACTCTTGGACGAATCTGACCACATCTGTGCGTTAAATTCAGTTGAATTGAAAGTAACGCAAGCCGTCAGAGGTTCGTCCCGAGATGGCCGTACACACACACACACACACACACACAGAGAGAGAGAGAGAGAGAGAGAGAGAGAGAGAGAGAGAGAGAGAGAGAGAGAGAGAGAGAGAGAGAGAGAGAGAGAGAGAGAGAGCTCTGTTATTGAATGCGCGCGTGTCACCACCTTCTAACATTCTCACCCCTTGCCCTAGTGCCTTGCCTTGTCCTCCCAGTGGATTTTCCTGTGCCTAGCGAGATACATAGCATTTCCCCCTGACAAGGCCTGTCACGGATGGGCGTGCACGCGGCTGTGAGAATGTATCTGACCTCACCCGTGACATGTGTGCAATGTGCATTCAATATCAGAGCTCTCTCTCTCTCTCTCTCTCTCTCTCTCTCTCTCTCTCTCTCTCTCTCTCTCTCTCTCTCTCTCACACACACACACACACACACACACACACACACACACACACACACACAAACACACACACGAATGACTGCGTTACAAAACAAGATCCAGCGTGGGGTAGTGGGTGGCTGAAACAACAAACACAGATCCAACAAACGGGCAGGTGGCTGCTCGGCGCTTGCCATCAATCATGCTACATGTTCGCGTGTGGGCATTACAATTAACTGCTCGGACCTTGCTTGGGTCCAGTAGGCTCCCAAATGTTTCGCCCAGGCCATTCCATGGGACCCCGCTAGTAGTGGAACCGTCTCCTGATTTGCTTTGGAACGTTTCTCATTAAAGGAGATGAGAATTAAAGAGGGCCCGGGCCCCGGGGCACTAATAATATTTTGTGCACCTCTTGGACTCTCTTGGACCTCCGCCTGCACTGATGAAAGCCCCAGTGGTACCAAAAAAAAAAAAGAAGAAAACCAATAGCATCACTGGCCGAGGTAGGAGCACGATCGTGCCGATACAGTTGTCGTAACTTTGGAGGCAAATTGCAGTCATAGCCTCATAGGGTCATGTACCCAACAACCGGAATGCTCAAATTATGTATGTACCCCATGATGGTCCCCATCAACTTGTGTATGTACCCCAATTTCGCCTGCCTGGTTACTGTGCATACGCATAATTTTGTGCTCCCCAAGGATCCGGTACATAGAAAAGTTTTCATTCAGGGGAAAAAACAACAACAACAACAACAACAACAACAACAACAGAGAATCAGGGTATTAACTTTTAAGGTACTACCCCAAGTTCTTTTCTTTTTTTTGTTCCCCCCAAGTTGAACAGGATCTGGGTATCCGTGCAATTTGGGCGCTTGGGAATGGGCATATTCGGAATCGCCATATCCTTAACTGGGGTACGGATACGCTACTACTTTTCCCAAACGAGAAAAGAAATTGAAACCCTTAGGGATCTACACTGGCCTGGCTTGGAGCGAACCCCACTGGCCATTGCAAGTTTTGTCAAAATCCCTTCATCCAAAGGTGGTATATAAAAGTCGCATACATTTTGATCCACCCAAAGGTATATAAAAGCCGCTACCTTTATTTATTTATTTATTTTATTTTTTCCCCTGCTAATCTCTCTGGGAGCCTTACCCAGAAAGCTGCTACTTTTGGATCCCCCCGAGATATATATAAACGCCTCTCTGTGTTTTTGACCTGAATTCATTCGGTGCCAAGTCCCACTGGGTGCGTTGAGTTTCCTCAACGCCTGAATCTGGGCGTGGTTGTGGCGATGTGCGGTTTTGAGGAAGTTCAACGCCAGTTCTGCAAGTCTCCAGGAATACGTCCAGATTCAGGCACTGAGGAAACACGCCAATTCTGCACATCTCCACGAACACGTCCAGATTCAGGCACTGAGGAAACACGCCAGTTCTGCACGTCTCCATGAACACGTCCAGATTCAGGCACTGAGGATACTCAACGATTCGGTCGAGAGTCGAGACCAAAGACTTCTACCACAGAACCTCTCCTCGGCGGTTCGACTCCATGCCCTCACCAAGAGAAATACTTTGAAGTGAATTGAACCATCAGTCTGCTCAATCTGGCCGAATGCAATCGCAGGCATCCTTCTTTGTCTTTTGTATTTGTTCCCCCGGAGGGGAGGAGGGCCGCGCCGCTCTCTGCTGCAGTGCAATACAGAGGCAACCCTGAAGGGGTCGAGCAGGCAAGCCTACCCATATGACCCCTCCGTAGCCCAGAAAAATTAATTTAATATCGTGTGGTCCGATGGACCACGGATCAGATATTAAACTGATCAGAACAGATACTACACTTGATCTTAGCCAA